AGGGTCACAAACAGCCCCCGGTCCCTCCACCCGGGGTAGGGACCAGCTCTGGGCAGCTACAGCCGGGGTGGGGGGCAGGCGGAGAAGCCCACCAGGCCCCCTTGGCAAAGGTTAAGCAGTCCAGGGCCAAGCCCACCATCATTTCTGCCGCTTGTATATCTTCTGGGCTAGGCCAAGGAAGATCTCCTTGGGCAGGCGGTTGGCGTGCTTTTTGATCAGTTCCTGCAGGCGCCGATAGCTGTTCTCCTCGTACTCCTGAAAAGCGGCCCTCATGCCCAGAGTCTCATAGAGCTCCTTCACCTTTGCCACCTTCTCGGGCTCCTTACGGCCATAGTTCTCCTGAGAAGACACCAGAACAAGACAGGCTGAGGGCTGAGGTCAAGCCTCTGCCATCGCTGCTCCTCCAAAGCGTGGCAGGAGCCACCCCCCTGCTACCACGCTGCGTTGCTGACCACCACCACCCCTTCTCCCACCAGGTGGCACGTGGCTTTTCAGGTGTACATTACGGCACTGCACTCCCTCTACACCACGTCCTGAGGGAGGGAGTCCACACCACCTCTCCGGTGGGTGACATTACCTCCAGGATCTGCCTCTGCTCTGGTGTGACCCGACGGAGACACTCCACCACCAGCCAGCTGCACTTGTTGTCCTGGATATCAGTGCCAACCTTCCCCGTCAGCTCCGGGTCCCCAAAGCAGTCGAGGTAATCGTCCTGAACAAAGATGGAAACACGTGAGCGCCACAACCGGCGCCTCGCAAGCCCTGAGGGACAGGGAGCCACCTCCTACCTGGATCTGAAAGAATTCGCCCATCTCCAGCAAGATCGCTTTGGCATTGTCGTGCTCCTCCTTACTGTCAATCCCAGTCTAAGAGAGGGTAGAAGGAATAAAGCCTTCCAGTACCCACCTTCCACCCTTACTTCTCCCACACCCTCTGCCCTCCTCGACAGCCTCATACCGAGGGATAGTCCTTCCAGAGACTCTTCCGTAAGACTCACCATGTACATGGCAGCGGCCACAGGCAGGTAGAAGGAGTAGAACGCCGTCTTGTACTTAACGATTGCCTTATACCTGCAGTAAAGGACCCACGCTCAGCGACAAAGCCCAGGCCTTCCCCTCCCACCAGGGCTCTGCAGATGAAGGCCGGCAAGGAGAAAAGCGGCAGCTCCCTCCAAACCAGCCCCCAAGCTCCGACAGCGTGAGCAAGGCTCGCTCCCCCCCAAAACCTGGCAGGAGACAGCTGAATTTCAGCAAGCCATTGTCCCTCTGACACAGTGCGGAAGGGACTGCAAGCAGAGCCACCCTGCCACAGCTGGGCTGGCATCTGTCCCTTTCCCCATCTTCACCTCTGCTCGCTGAAGCGATTCAAATCCACCTGGGAAACGGGAGCAGTAATGAGGTCCAGCATCTGCCCGAGCTCAGTCTGGTACCCAGTCTGAAGAGGAAAGAAAGGATTTATTCAGGTAGTCCCCCGGGGGAGTCCCCACAGCACAGTGAAAACCTCAAACCCCAGCCCCGTTTCGGCTCCTCTGCGAGTCCGTCTGGCAGGATGCCTCAGGGAGTTAAGGAACAGTCCGAGATCCACAGGTCTGTCTCTCTGACAGGCTGGGAGAATTGGGGGGGTTCAGCCTGGAGAAGAGAAGGCTCCGCAGAGACCTCAGAGCCCCTTCCAGTGCCTAAAGGGGCTCCAGGAGAGCTGGGGGGGGACTCTGGATCAGGGAGGGGAGCCGTGGGACGAGGGGGAACGCTTTGACACTGACAGAGGGGAGATTGAGGTGAGATCTGGGGAAGAAATTGTTGGCTGTGCGGGCGGTGATCCCCTGGGGCAGGTTGCCCCGAGAAGCTGTGGCTGCCCCATCCCTGGAGGTGTTCAAGGCCAGGTTGGACGGGGCTTGGAGCAACCTGGGCTGGGGGGAGGTGGCCCTGCCCAGGGCAGGAGGGGTGGAACAAGGTGATCTGCAGTCCCTTCCAACCCAAACCATTCTGTGATTCTACGATTCCATCCCTGCAGCCCAGGGCCTGCTGGTTGGGAATTCCGGCGCTGCTGCCGGGCGGCTCTTCCCGGGAAGACAGAGAGAGCCTGGAGCAGCACCTTTCAGGCCAATCCTTTAGCATAAATTTGCAACAAAAGTAATTTTTTTTTTTTTAATTATTATTCAGTTCTGTAGAGCAGTTTAAAAGATGCAATTTTTAAGTGAACGGTGTAAAGGGTTTTTTTTAAAGAATATACACTTCTAAGGAAGTCAAATATCGCTGGTACAGGTCCCTGGTGCTGGAAGGTTCCCTCGTCCCGAAGCAGTCTGGCCCATCAGCCCCGCTCCGCAGTCACTGGGAGCGCCGGCGATGCTTGCAGAGGCCGGTC